TGTATATCCGTCTGTCTGTCTTTCCATCTGTCTGTCTGTCTCTCTGTCTGTCTTTCCATCTGTCTGTCTGTCTGTCTGTCTATCTTTCTGTCTGTATGTCTCTGTCTATCCGTCTGTCTGTCTGTCTCTCTGTCTATCCGTCTGTCTTTCTCTCTGTCTGTCTTTTTGTATGTCTGCCTGCCTGTCTGTCTGTCCATTTGTCCACTAGTCTGTCTGTCCGCCCGTCTACTTGTCCGTCCATCTGTCTGATAATTCATCTCTCTGCTGTCATTCTCTCAGTTCTCATCAGATGTGATCAGGTCTTCCGATAAGCGAGTCTGTAGTGTCTGTCACACATGTGTTCATCTCATTCAGAGGGTTTTGGTGAAGGGATGCCTGTATCACCGCTCCTGCTTCAGGTAAAACACACACACTCACACACACACACACACTGTCACAACACACTCACTCTTTCTCTCTCTTTCTAAATGCACACTCTCTGTCTCTCACACACGTGTTTGTTTCACTATTAGTGAAGACATTGCATATACCTCCATAACTTCCATTGTTTTTATATCAGGTTAGTGATATTTTTATGGCCTAACCCAACTCCTAAACGTACCCATCACAGAAGCCGGTGCAAAACACAAGATTTAAATGGAAACATTAGATTTAAATAAAATCGATTTTGGCTGAGTTTAAAAGGCTTTTTAACTAGTAAGAACCAGTCAAATGTCTCTGGTCGTGTCCTGATTGTTTCAGATGCAGTCGCTGTCGTCGCACTCTGCTGCCGATCTCTTTCACAGTGGACAGTGAGACGGGTTCACTGCAGTGCAGTTATCCCTGCAAACCTGCTTCTGAACACGACCGGACCGCAGATCACTCACAGAACGACACCAGTGAGACGGATGGAGACAGGAGAGAGACCGATGGAGACGTGGTGAATGATGGACATCTCGCCACCTCATCAGAGACTGATCTACAAGAACCTCCCAAACCTGCTCCCAGAAAGAGGGCAGAGCCTCAGGAACCTCCTCGCCCCACCCCCAGATCACCGGATCATCGCCCTGACAACAGTTAGAATCTTCATCCCTGTGTTACTATATTACACTTACTATTGTTCCAGTGTAAACATCATCAAACAGACAGTTTAAGCTCTACATTCTGATTGGATGAGCCAAAACTACTTACACATTTAGAGTAGCTGTTCAGTGATAATTAATGATTAATGCATTTATTTGTTGTCAATAATTTTGTCGTCACATTTACTAATGATTAGCTGAGTTTGTTTGTTGTTTTATCGTTTTTTGTTGAGTGTTATTTGTGAGCATCCATGTGAATAGGACAGAAAACATGAAATACATAATATTGAATAAGTTAAAACTATATAAAGGAATATATGCATAGAAGCATTTTTGGGTTGAAAGAGTTCACACTTACTAAAACAACCATCTTATTTAATTTATCTGTATATATCATTATTACCATTGTCTCGTGTGTTTTTCTCGTTCGGGTCTCAGTCTCGTCTCAGAGCACCGTTCGTAAGGAACATCCCTGGATGAAGCTGGTTGATCCGGGTCCCTGGTTTCGTCTTCCTCCAGCTCCAGCTCCATCCGTTCATTCACACCGCCAGGCCTCAACCTTTAACCCCTTCCTGGAGGAAGATAAGGACGAGTCCAATGATGAAGAGGTACTGAATGAAGGAAGTTTCTGAAGAACTGACACAAACCAGCACTGGTTCTTCACTAGATGAAGCTGGTTATATTTAGTCTCCTCTAGTTTAGACGAGTCATGTGATCTCCAGGCTGGGAATAGAGTTGCTGCTGTTAGCAGGTTAGCAGAACCGTCAGTATCAGGTCAGTCAGTATCAGTGAGAAACACACTGTCTGTGACTCATTTCAATAAATGATCAGCTATAAACAATAAAGAAAGGGAAGGTCAAGAACCTCAAACTTCACCTAATTCATTGTCCAGTTATCATGAGATCAGATCCAAGTCTAGACCTTCAGAGACCAGACTAGACCTGAGTCCCAAATTCAGACCTAGAACCAGGATCTCCACTTTAATGAACTGAAATAGAGAACACGGTGCAGCTTTATTTCCCCTTTCAGAGTCTTGTGATTTCTCTCTAATGTTAAACCTGTGGTTGAGGCGATTATCACTTTTATCTAGTTAGTTGATGTGTGTGAGCTTCAGTCAGTCAGAGAACCAGACAATCCGACATCTGACGCTCAGACTGAAGAGTCAGCTTGTGGTTGTGGGTTGTTATTTTTCTCTTTGCAGTCTCACAGGATATTGTTTGTTTGTGTGTGTGTGTGTGTGTGTGTGTGTGTGTGTTTTAACAGTTTTCAGACTGTCTCTCTGTTTTTCTCTTTGTCAAGACAAACCCTTTCAGTTGCGAAACTTCATTTGCACACAAACCCCAAACCTCATCCTCCGTTCCCAGCATGCACCAGGCTGCAGCTCCTGTTCATGGTTTCAAGAGGAAGGTGAGACACAAACTGTCTTTTTGTGCTGCTGGAGTGAACAATACTTCATATTAATGGTAGGAGAGCTTCATTTATAGTACAAGACAGTCTTAGAGAAATATGAAAAATATTTTAATTTTATTATTATTATTAATACTTTGGTCAAATTCATCATTTCTTTCAGGTTTCAGTTAACATGCATCTATTTCTCTGTATAATCATATTTAAAAACATGTTGTGATTTCAATGATTGAAAAGAGCTTTGCGATGGACTGTTTGCAGCAACTGCTGCAGTTTAACTCAGCTTTTAGATGTAAACTAATCTGAAATGCGTCCAAACCTTAAGTGATTTTGATATTAACACACATTAATAAAGCACAGGATCACGAACACAACATTACCTTCTGCTCCATGAGGTTTGAGTTTGCATCTGCTTCTCTCTTTCAGCATCAGATGTGTGAGTCTCTGTACTGATTGATTGATTGATTGATTGATTGTGTGTTCAGGTGATCACACACACACGCGTGTCAGAGAAGCAGGTGTGTGAGGAGCAGAAGAAGCTGGAGGAGCGTCTGCTGGAGCTGGAGAAGAGAGGAGTGCAGCTGGAGAGAGAGATGAGGAGATGCATCAGCGGTGAGAAACAACAGACACGCTAATGCTAACAGACAAACATACAGTAACAGTTACTGTAGAGGAGAGGAGTGCAGCTGGAGAGAGATGAGGTGCACGGATAGTGAGAAACACCTGAACCTCCTCACATAACAACAGACTAATGCTAACAGACACAAAAGAGCCTGGCTAGCAGATGTGCTATGTGTTAAAAAAGAGGCATGTTAACAGATGTGGTAAACAGACTACAGACACACTATCAAACCTGCTAACAGACGCCGTAAACAGACATGCTAGCAGATGAGCTAACAGACACACACGGTACAGAGTAATTTACAAAAGGAGTTCATTCAAATATAAAAATGGCATATAAACTTTTTTTTTTGAATGCAACTTTTAAATCACTTACATTAATCCATTTGCCAGGCGAGTTAAAATCACTAGATACTTGATGACCAGTGAACATCGACATGAACATGAATCCGAAAAACAATGAACAGTTCAATAGTGGATTTAAAAAGTGATTTATTAGTGCTTTATTTCTGATGTGACTCAAGTGATTAATAATCATCAGATCAGCAGGACTGAAGCTTGTTTGTTTAGAATCAGAGGCGTAGTTTGTGTAGTTATGATGTGCGTGTGTGTGTGTGCGTGTGCGTGCGCGCGCATGTGTGTGTGTGTGTGTGTTTCAGAGAATCTTCTAGTCGACTGGTTCCTTCTGATTCATGAGAAGAGCATGTTGGTGCGCAGAGACACAGAGCTGGTGTATACGTGAGTAACACACACTATAAACACACAGATACATGTTGAGCAGAATAATGTGTGTGTAGTGTGACGTGTGTGTGTGTGTGTTTTCAGGGTGAAGCAGCAGCGTCTGGAGGATCAACAGGTTGATGTGGACTCTGAGATCAGACGCCTCTTCAACAAGCCAGGTGAGCAGAAACTAAATAAATCAAGTTTATACATGTGAATATGTTTGTGTGGTTTAATAGTGATTAGTGTGAATTCTGCTTTAATCTGGTATGAACTGATCTGAGGATGACGTGTCAGTAGTTTGTAGTTGATTGTGAATGTGTGTGTGACACTCAGAGCAGGACTGGAGCTCAGACGACAGACAACAGGAGCATCAGCTGATGTCACGCCTGCTGTCAATCATCCAGCAGAGGAATGACATCATCAGCAGCCTGGATCAGGACAGGAAGAGGTCAGAGGTCACCTGATCAGCAGTGTGAGCAGTGTCACGTGATAATCGTGTGTTATTGATGGATGTGTTTGTGATCTTCATCAGGGAGGAGGAGGAGGACGAGATGCTGACGGCTGTGATCCAGAGGATGGGTGAGAAACACCTTCAGTTCAGTTCATCAGAGACAGTGTTGCTTATCGTTTTTACTGCTTTAACACTGTGTGTCTCTCTCCAGAGCTCCTGACACAGCCGGACAAACATCCTGACAAATGCAGCAGGTTTAAACGTCTTCAGATGTTCAAGAAATCCAGCCGTAAGACTGAAAACACCAGCAGAAGAAAGAAGAAAAACAGCTGAAGAACAGAAAGAGACTTAATATGCTTATTCAGAGAAATGTACAGTAACGGTAAAAACACCCTTCAGGTCAAACTGAACTGTTTCTACCCCTTCTGTTTATTTTTACACTTGTATATCTGTATTTTTAATTATTTTTATAATTATTATTATATGACACACTTTTATAATTAACCAGGAAAGTTTCTTCTTTTTAAAACTAGGATATTTGTGCGAGAGGATTTGGAAAATGTTCCATTAACGTTTCCTCAACATATAGGTTCTGTGAACGTCTCTGCTACTCAAGCCAATTTATATTTATTTGAAATAAAAATTCATAATTTCATGTACTTCTTTCCTTGAAATTATTCAGTTGTGTGAGGGTTTTTATGGCTAACTGGGGAAACAGCTGTAACATAAGAGTTCATCATCAGACACTAAAACTATCCAAACTTTTTTGGGGGTGGTTCTACATGATTATATTTCTGCATGATTATTAGCCCAGTAAATGATAATATTATAATTATTATTTAATTGTGCTAAATAAATGGTCAAATGGCAGACCTACTTACTTCACGTTTAACAGCTTCTAAAACTAAAAATGACATACATGACTTGGATTTTCAGTCCAGTGCTTCTTTATTTGAGTAAACAGCAGCAGTTTGAAGGCGGTTTTCGATCTGCTCGAGACTGTCGGGTGTTTGAGTGCATTTTTACACGTCCTGTTCAAGCCTGTCAGTGCTTGTTTTCATCGTGGCCTTTATTCTTCTCGGCAAGATTTAATCGTCATTTAAAAAGGACATCGTCGCAATCTCTGTCTGAGTGCAGATTTAATCAGAGACAGCTGCTTGACAACAAAATGTTTCTCAAAGGAAAAAATACAGCAGATTTTGAATTAGAATACATAGACACTAAATCTAGTTTTCCATGCAACTACAGATGTGTATCACAATTGTCTTTGGATGGTAGAAATAAAAAAACATTCACAAGCATTCTATTTAAAGTGAAAATAAGCGTTATAAAAATTTTGCTAAGCATAAATTTAGTTAGGAATAATAATAATATGGTTGCATAGTTTACAAATATGTAACTATGAATTTATAAAATTAGAAAAAAATCCCACCCTTCTATAGCTGGCATATTATCAAATGAGATTATATTGTAAAGTATTACCGTTAATACTGTTAGAAATTCAACAACCATATAAAGTCTTACTTTTTAGAGTACAAAAAACAAAATGCATTACAGCTCTGGGTTTCTGTATGAAAGTGTTTATTATATGTAATCTATATAGAAAGTGTTTATTGTATTTAAACTGGGTTTTATAAAGGCACACTTGGCTGTATTTAAAACTCGTCTCTAGAGAGTATAAAGATATATGTTTTCATAAAGTGATGAATGTGTGTTGAGGAGCGGTTGTGTGAAAAGGCCTTATATGGCAATGATCTCGAGATATAAACGGTGTTCATCCGCTTCCTTATCTACATCAGAAGAATTTAAGAACAACTTTACGCTCATATAATCTTAAGAATCTGGCAAAGTTTACACTCAAACCAACGATTCTATACAATTAAATTAGTCCATGTGCATGTTTACAAAAGTTTACACACACATTCTCTTTCTGATCATTCTGATCATGTGATTTCAGCAACCACAGTGTGTTTACGTGTCTATATAAAGACCAGCAGAAAGCTGTCGTTTGTTATTTGGACTTCAGAAGACTTTTGGACATTTAAATGAATCAGAATGACTTCATTTGCCATGAAGTTAGCCTCAAATGTAAAAAAATATGTGCTAATATCCACCAACTTGCTACATTCTGCAACAATGCTTTTTCATCTAGCATCTGCAAAACTCAGAAATAAATCAATGTGCCTTAATATGTACAAAGTGTTTGTGAAAACAAATGTTCTCTTTTATGTTAATGCATCATTATTTGCGCATGTGTCACATTTCACAAGCTGTTGATGAAACTAATGTAGAAAAGGTTTATTTGCCTGTTGATAATTGATGCTTCTTTAACTTTGACAAAAATGAACATTTATTCAAGGTGCTGCCAAAATGTAAAATTGTAATAGAACTGTAAAGGTAAAGATGAAAATTTTAAAGGCATCCAATGAAAAACAAAAAGAGAAGAGATTAGAGGGAATATTATACTTATTTTCAAATCCTCTATGTTGTCTCATGTCTATGTTGTATTTACTACTTCATTTTAGGTCACACATCAATAATGGAACCAAATGCACATTTAAACTTGATTTTACTGGGGACAGCACAAGCTGGAAAGAGTGCGTCAGGAAACACAATACTGGGACGACAAGCTTTTGTGACAAATGAAAGCCCCTTTTCAGTCACACAAGGTGTTGCTGTTGTATCCGGGACTATCTTTGGAATTCCAGTCACTGTTTATGACACACCGGGATTATATGAGACTCAGATCAACGAGAATCAGATGTTGCACCAATATAGTATAGAGTATTTTCCAGAAATGTGAATCTGGTGCTTGTGTGTTTCTGCTGGTCATCAAAGCCGACAGATTCACTGCAGAAGTGTGTGTGTGTGTGTGTGTGTGTGATTAAAATGGGAAAGATGCTAATATACTAACATTTAAATGACTACTTGCATCTCTTTTGTATTTAATACAGCATCAGAATGAGGGATACAATCCCTCTTGATCTTTAGGTCACTGGTTATTTTTCCAGAAGGATTGTTCTTCTGGGTAAAACTGGTGTTGGGAAAAGTGCAGCTGGAAACACAATACTGGGACAGAAAGAGTTCAGATCTGCGAGGAGAATGATTGCAGTAACCCATGAATGTTCAGTGAAACACGGCATTGTTTCAGACAGATCTGTGTCTATAGTTGATACTCCTGGATTCACTGACACATTGATGGAACCTGAAGAGTTAGCGATGAGTGTTTATTTATCCAAAAGACTATATAAACCAGCTCTGTGTATCTAGATCAGGAGTGTCAAACTCAATTCCTGGAGGGCCGGAGCCCTGCAGAGTTTAGTTCCAACCCTGCTCCAACACACAGTCCATGTAGTTTTCAAATAAGCCTTAAGAACTTGATTAGTTGGATCATGTGTGTTTAATTAGGGTTGAATCTAAACTCTGCAGACCTCCGGCCCTCCAGGAACTGAGGTTGACACCCGTGCTATAGACCTATCGAAGGAAGCCCCACCTTCTGAATAAAAGAGCCAGTCACTAATCAGTAAAGTCATCGTGTCACTGCAGCTAGAAACAGGCCCTGTCCCAAACGACACTTCATGTGCACATGCGGTCTTGCACACTTACAATGGCAGCCGCGTGCGCATGTCTGTTAAGTCCACGAGACCGTGAGTGTCCCATTCATCATTTTAGCTATTCACCCTCGATGCGCACTTCTGCCGAACCCGCATCGGGGCGAGCTCCGCAGCAAACTTCTACCCAACAGTCAAAGCGCCATTACGTCATGAAAGTGTGGACTCGGAGGAAGACCACAAGGGTTTAGGGTGCCATTTGGGACAGGCCCTAATCCCTTCAAAGGCTTTTCCCTCCGGAGTGAGAGCTTCGAAGGGATGAAGGGTGTAGGGGTCCAAAAAAAACTCTTTTTTTTGGAAAGCACTTCTGCGTCATCTTAACGAGACGATCAAGAAGGCACCTTCGTCGCACATTTTGTACACTGTTTACCCCGAGTCATCTTTTACGTTAAATATAATGTATATTTGTATATGTAATGTAATGTAATATGTATTTGTAATGTATATTGTGTCTATGTATTTGAAACATTTGAATGGACTGATAAAGTACAATGTCGTTTTGACCATAATAATGTACCAAATCTAGCTCGTATAAATATTACAGTAGTATAGAAAAATACTATACATACATTTATAGGTGAAGTCGAACTCTGACGTCAAACAACTTCCCTGTGCAAAGGATCATGGGAGAGCCTGAAGTGTCCATCAGTTGTACCCTTCGAAATCCTTCATTCCGAAGGGCCACTTGAAGTGGCCAGTTTTGAGCACTTCGGTTTGGAACGACCCTTCAATATGGTGGCCATGATTGTTTTCACTCTGAAGTGCCCTTTGGAGGTATATATCCTGTTTGGAAAGCACAGAGTGCCACTGAGCTACACGGAAGTCTGACGATTGTGTTACACTGACGTTACTGTCTGCTGGCCTATTATCAAATCCTAAAAACTATGGCAAACATTTTTTCATGGAGGTAATCGGGATTAGTTAGGCTTAGATGGGTGGATTTTATCAAATCAATTATATGAATAAGGCTAAGAAAATATTCTTAAACAACGAAGGCCTAGAGGAATGAGTAAATAATCCTAAACCAACAGTGTAATAAACAAGCATGCACATTCATTTTTATTCTTTCACAACTATTTTCCAGCTAGTTATAATAGTGTCACATGTTCGTTCCCGTTTAGTTCCTGCTGTCCTTATTTGGTCCTTCCAGTTCCTTTTCCCATTATTAGTATCACCTGTTCCTTGTTATTAGTTATCTTCGTCACCTGTCTGCCCCTCGTTATCTGCCCTATTTAGTTCTAGCCCATTCTGTTCTCCCTTGTCTGGAATTGTTTGTCAACGCCTTGTGTTATGTGTGAGTCCATGAAAAAAAAGAATTAAGCTCTGTTGTTTTGTACTCCTGGTCTCCTTGTTCCTCGCTCCAGCCTCCTCACAGTAGCAGCCCGTGACAAATAGGATGTAGTGTGCCTCACTTGGTTAAAGTCTATCCTAAATACATAAATATATTATTTGATGGTCACATAATTGTTTTTTTGTAGGCTATCATCTGAACTTAAAATAATTGAAATTCAAGCCTGCATTAACAAAAAAGGAGAATAAATGATCTTGCATTATCACCAAAACGAAAGAATCATATAAAGTGTGCTGAGTCAAGGGAAAGTATGGTGAAGACGCAGGGACAGTGAAAAGAAAAAATCTTACACTAAAAATAAACTACACTAAAAAGAAAGAAACAATGATTTATTGCAAGAAATATTGAAAATACAATGACAATAACATTACAAGGCTGGCCTCCAGTGGTTGCATAGGGACGTTCAGAGAATATCACGCAGAATCAGTACAGTTGTTTACTATTGTACTGCATGAAAACCAACCAAATGTGACACCTCTGCTGGAGAAAAGTTATTAACTATCACAAATATGTGCAATTAAATTTTACATTTGGTTAAGAGCACTGATAAACCATCTGTGTTTACATGAATGAAATACTTTCATGTTATATGTTGATTGCAAACAAAATAATTTCATGAGAAAACAGCTACTTTTCAATGGCTGTCAGTGGAGATGGAGTCAACATAAGCTCATTGTTTTAGCAGAC